TGGTCTGGTTCTCAGGGGAGAACCTAGGCTTTTTGTTTGGTGCTCATATTTTCCTTCACTCATTTAACACATCTATCTAGAGGGGCTTCAGGTCATCTAACGCCCCCCTGTTCTGTTTTATGACTCTTATCAGCTGCAACATCTCAGGACATCATGCCAAATCAGTCCAAGTTTTTTATTTTATTCTTTTACTCTGCATAAATGTTGTAAACTACCTAAGTGGCCYAGGGGCTTGGTGTTTGTCATATAAACATCACAAACTGAACATTTCATGGTTAAATGTCTTTTAGACCAGAGATTCTTAACCTGTGGGCTGCGAGCACCACCTTGAGAGCCTCAAAAGAACAACAGTTTTTAAAGAGGACCTATTATGCAAAATTCACTTTTTAAAGTTTTTTTACTCAATTTTGGGTATGTACTTCTTAAAGGAGACCAATTATGGGTCCTAGAAATTTTTGTGGTATGTCTGTGGGCTATCCAGACCATGTTCATTCAATTTAATGCACAAAATAATTCTCAGATAAAAAAATTTCCCATTTTCTAGTTCTGCCTGCTCTGACTTCCGTTCAGAAGAGCTGTTTATGTTAATGAGCTCTGTTGGTAACGCCCTCCAAAAATCTGTTGACATTAACTCCGCCCTCCAAAGCCAGCATTTATGTTAGCATGGCTAATAATAGCAGAAGCTCTGTTGTACAACATATGAGAGACCCAGAGGCAGAGTCGTGGTCCCAGCTTCTTCTTTTTTTTCCCTCCCCCTCCTCTGCTCTGTGCTCACTCTGCATGCTGTTACCAGAGCAGGGAGCAGCAGCGGTCAAAATACCTCAGAAACTCGAACAAATAGGCTTTAACAAGGCTTTAATAAGCTAAACAATAGAGGTACATGAGAAAACGTGTTCATAATGAACAGAAAAAATAAATAAATATTTAAGTAGTGTCCAAGCCAGTCTTAAACCCTGGTCTCCCGCTCTCTGGTCCAACACTCTACCCATTGTCCTACTGGAGACTTGTCATGAAATGAGCTACACATTGCACAACGACACCGTGATGGCTTTTTATATCGAGGAGGTGAAGTCTCACCCGGGGGTTGCTAGATAAGGGGCTGAACGCAGGTTCCAGTGGGTTGTCGTACGGCTTGTGACATCACAAAATAACGGAAGTATAAAACTTATCATTAAAGAGTAACTTACCCCAAAATTAACTGTTTTTAGCTGATAAACTGTCAAGAATGTGTCTAAAATGTTATATAGTACTGTTTCTGTGCTAATTTTGATGTTTTTGTGTGTATTTGTTCAAATCTGTAATATTTGGTCTAAAAACGTCTTTTTGCAGGACCTGTTAAAATACATTAGAAATCAGGAAATAGCCTATAATTTATTCAAAATTTTCTGGGGGTGGACCCCCCAGACCCCCATCCAGTGTGTCCTTTACTATTATAAGACTTGTTATGTGAGAGAATAAACCCACACACCTGTGCTCCACCTGTGTGTCTCTGTATGAAACTATGGCTGATTGTCAAACTGTATTCTCAGTGAGTTTAAAGGGCTGATACAGTACATGGTTGAATGAAGGTGAACATAATTTCAGTTAATATGGTTTGAGTATTACTGCATCACAACAGAAACATTTGGTGTTCAGTTGTTGACGAGTGCGGACAGTTAAACTGAGCACACACTGAAGACATGAACAACAGAAAAACCTGGTCACACAACTGTGGGTGCGTCAGACATGGTGCGTCCCCACCAACTTTCAGCACAAAATTACGCCCTTGTATCAGGGTCCCGCTGTGGCACACCGAACAACGATCCATTCACACCAGTGCAGCTGGATTCTTTTTTATTTATTTATTTATTTGTTTATTTATTTATTTAAGAAATCAGATCGTGTTTGCGACCACACTGGTCGCACTCTTGAACCCTGCTAGCTGTTGTTTTGTCAGACAACGAGGTACAATCTTAGGTACGCAAGGACTTGAAGTCTGATGGATTGGATAAAAATACATTCCTAGCAGAAGCTATTTTAAGTTTTTTCTTCTCATTATACTTTCTATTAAAGAACAAAGACTGGGCTTTATGATGGACTGCTGATCGGCTCCCTGTGACCATTCACTGGGTTGATTGGCTACAGAAAGAAAGAGATGGATAGAAAACTGTCTGAACTTTAGTTTGTCATTTAATTGATTTTATTTTACTGGGATGATGGCAGAGAAATAATCTTTAGTTGCTGCCCCAGTTAAGACTGACACCAAAGGCTTTCTCTTGAGACCCATGAGTTTATCCATGACTCTACCAATTGTGGATGTAGACTTAAAGTTATTAAGTAATTCCCCAAAATTCCCTAGACTTGGGTTAAAAACCTCATCTGTAGTACTGTCTGCTTTGTCTCTGGGCAACCAAAAAGAGTAATGGAAAGGGTGCGGCTSGTTGTTAAGAAAGAAAGAAACAACAACAGCTTTTTCATCTCTTTTGTTAAAGCTTCAAGTTTCAGGTCCTTTGTAGGGGTGACAACCTCTAGGTTAAACGGTCTGTTCTGAAATATCTGCAGCTTGWATCTTATGATAATTAGCAGTAAATAGCTTTTCTGATTTAGCTGATGTTTCCTAAAACTCCCACACGTTTCTTTTCCATCTACTGACCGTATCCTGTAGGCACACTACCTGTTGAGTAACTTGATATTGTTTGTTAAACTTTCAGTAAAAGCCTAAACTGTTTGACAAAACTCTGTCTCAGTTGTTTTAAGAAATCTTAAACAAAACCTTGGTGCGCCCTAGTTGAAATCAGTGTCACATATTTAGAAGTTTGTCCTTTCCATCTTGAATTTTTTTTTCAGGAGATCTGTTAGTGGAAACTTAAAACACTTTGAGTATCTGCAAATAACATCTGCAGAAACTAAATACTGTGAGCTAGAATTGTGTACATTGGCTTTGATACAGTTTTCTGTTGCTTATCTTTGGTCAACTTATGGAGGCAACAGATGCAGAAGGGAAACCAAAACATCCATTCTTTCCAGTGACACTTTCATAACATAATAATAATAATAATAATAATAATAATAATAATAATAATAATAATAATAATAATGATGATGATAATAATAAATAATAATAATAGTAATGGATTCAATTCATAACACACTTTTCATTAACAAAAATCTCAAAGTGTTAAAATATGGCAAAACAGTTAATATTAAAATGAGCAAAAACAACAACAAATGAACAATAAAATTACACAAATAAAAACATCCACCAGAGCTGGGGAAAGGCTAGCTTTTAAGCCGTGTTAAAAACATTTAATAACAATGATGCCCCAAACTGAGCTAGACTAGTAATTTTTTTAAAAAGTTTTTAAAGATGTTTTTTAAAAACATCTAATGGTGTCCATGGGGATCCCAAAGTCTTCCTAGTCCATTGAGGTTTTGTAATCCCTTCACTAAATTCTGAGTCTGCCCCGGGTCCTCCTCTCATGTGGGTGTGGCCAGAAAAACCTCCAGAGGGAGGTGCCCAGGAGGCCTTCCAACCAGGTGCTTGAACCACCTCCACTGACTCATTTTGATGTGGAGGAGCAGCGGCTCTTCACCAAGCTCTCCGTGGATGATGGAGCTCCTCACCCTATCTTTAAAGTTGAGCCTAGGAAGCTCTTTACACATAAACAGACCAGTTATTTGAGAGCTTTGTCTTTTAACTCAGCTCCTTCACAACAACAGACCGGAGCTACAGTCTTATTGTGAAGGAGCTGACTTGTTGTCACAATATTGTAAATATAGTCCTAGAAAAAGAACATAAACAGTGTAATGCTACATGTTCACTCACCAAAACACAGATAGTAACTCTGATCTACAACTCATGAAAGTGAAAAAAGGAAATTATTCTTGAAGTTGAAAGAAAAAAAAAACTAAATTTCACAAAGCTTTAGTTCAGAGTGAGTTCTTTTAGATGAGTCATGTACACAGTTTCTGCTTTTTTTAATCACTTTTGAAATCATCTGACTTTTCAAACACAATGTTAGGACTTTCTGTTTTGTTTAACCTTTGGGTCTGGYTTTAAGACATCATAGTCTAGAAAAATAAATCCATTTGGTCAGATCTAATCTTTTACCCTTTTGTGTGATGAGTTGTTTTTCTTTTTAAACTAGTTTATCCACACTCACTACACAGCAGCTTTTCTACACACTCCCACCAGCACCAGTCACAGACATACTCACCAACAGATGGGTGGGGTTATGGGAAGTGTAGGAGTTGGCAGCTGTGTTTGTCTTACTTTGTGTGTGTGTGTGTGTGTGTGTGTGTGTTTGTGTGTGTGTGTGTGTGTGTGTGTGTGT